GTCAGCAATTCAAACCTAGCAGCTGATCTTTGGAAACCCAATACAGGGGGGCTTGTAACCAATTCAATGGCACATTATAAAAATTTAGATTCATTTTCTCTCTCTCTCTCATACACCTATACATATATACAAATGAACTTCAGAAAGTTCATGGAAAATGGAATTAAAAGATAATGGGACATTGGGTTTGGGGGTTGAGAGAAGCAGAATCAGATAGGACAAGCTCCATGGTTGAGGCGCAGAAAACCCTGAGGAGGTGCTTTCACGGAGATGCTCCAGAGCTCTGGATCTAGTATAAGGTGCAGGGCGTCAGTTTCCCACACCCACAGGTAGAAAAATCACTGTAAAAAGGAAAACAATGTGATTTCCAAATCAGTCAGGATATGGGACTCTCCCTGTGGCCACTCTGCCCAGGCTGAGTTCAGAGGGCGGGGCCACAGCCAGACTGAAAAAGTGATATACCAGCACCAAAAACTGCGCAGCGACATTTGAAATGAGAGGTGTGGGTGATTCTACACATTTCTTTCCTCCTCTCCCCTGTCGCACCCTCTCTGCCCAGTCCAGACACCTTCAGGCAGCTGGGCACACTCCCCCAAAAGGGTCCAGCATTGAGCCCACAGTTTTCCCACGGCACAGAGAGGAGGAGTCCCATTTGTCCTACAGACTGATCCTTTGGCGGCTGTTTATGATGTCTGACTCTGGGACCCAGCCCTAAAGTTGACCTGGGTGGGACCCTTTATTCCTGCCTGGTGAAGGTGTGCCTTGGAGTCAGTTGGTTGGACTCATCGCGACCCTATACAGGGTTTCAGAGGCTGTAAATCTGTACGGGAGCAGAACACCTCATCTTTCTCCCGTGGAACAGCTGGTAGTTTCCAACAGCTGGCCTTAAGGTTCACAGCCGGATTCGTAACCACTACGCTACCAGAAAAAGCAGGTCTGACTATACAAACAAACCATATGGACTCTCTGTAAAACCCCAACATAAAAGGCAAGAGCCAACACCAACTACTATACACATGGATGCAACTATTTTGAGAATTATACGCTGTGTACATGCAGATACCTAACTGACCTTCAGAGATAAAAATAGTGGACAGTCTTTCTCTCATTAATTTCTCATTATCAATCTGCACACCTCCACTGTGGTGACTAGAGGAGAGGACTGATTGAGTGGACACCCCCACCCACCACTGGAGGTTTCTACTCTGCATACACACTGACCTACACAGCAAAAGCTACTGGTCAGTTGGTTATGGTTTTATTTTTGTTTTTGAGTGATGGTTTTTGTCTCTGCTTTTATATTGGAACAGTGGGGGACTCTAGACTCAGAGTGGGAGAGGGGCTGTGTGCTGACGGGGTGTACCCTTTGGGTGTTTGATGATGTAAGAAGGGGATTATAATCATTGCAATGAAAAGAAATACGATAGAATGAATGTAAAGTTGGTATTCTCCCATGTAAACTATCACATATTTCACAATAAAACCTTAAAAAAAAAAAAAAAAAAAAAGAAAGTTCCACACAAACTGCGGAGCTTCCAAAAGTTCATGAAACAATCCCATTATCTTTTCATACCATTCTTCCACAAACTTTTTGAAGTCCACTATGTGTGTGTGTGTTTACATATGTGTATGTTTACATATATGTATGTTTACATATATGTATGTTTACATACACATATGTATGTGCATGTATAGTAAGCTAGAAATAACGGCATTGAAAATATATTTACAAGGAGGGTTCAAATAGTATATGAAAAATTGACTTTAAAAGGTAATGGAATTTTCCCACAAACTTTGCATGTGTGCGCGTATATATTTTTTCAGTGTGTTTATTTCTTAAATGTAGTCCTGGTATAGGCACTGTGCTTAATGTGCTGAACTGCACAGTCAGTTTGTACCACAGGTCAGCGGTTCAAACTCGCCAGCCACTCCTCTGAAACCCTATGCAAAGTTGCTATGGGTCGGAACCGACTTGACGGCACTTAACAACATCTCTTATATGTCTACTATTATTCTCCTTAGACAGGATGGTGGCACCATATGATAAGCATTGGATTGTAAACTACAAAGTCTACAGTTTGAGCCTACCAGCTGCTCCATAGGAGAAAGATAAGGCTTTCTGCTCCCTCAAAGTTTCAAAGCCTCGAAATGCTATGCCGGGTTGCAACGACTAGAAAATAACCTCGTGTCACTTAACATTATTTTATTTTAATACCTTTTCATGAGCTTGCCATGGAAGCTTTTTTTAAGTAGGAAATACTGAGGTATTGTTTTCTGAAGAATATTTTATCTGTATTCACTGAATATGTAAGGATTTGGGGCAGATTTCAGGGTCAAAACAGTACAGACAAGTATTGAGACTGAATACCAGGAGAGGAGAGCATTGTCAACACACGTGCATTTCTTATTTTCAGGAGTTAAAGGTGAGCATTTGCTACGATTTACTCATAGCACTTTTACAATGGAGGTTATGATAAAGATAAAATTTAACATGGACCCTTGAAATGGGTTTGAAGTGTGCTGAAATGGAGATTACAAGGAAGACCATAAAATGACCCCGTTCTGCTTTGGATCTGCTTGCTGGAGTGATTTCTTTTTGCAGAAGCGTCCAGGCCAGCCACTCACTGAAGTTCCTGAGGGTCCATGTGCTCTAGAAGCAGGTAAGCCCTCCAGATGGATTTTAGGTAAGTAGATCTGGGGTGTAGTGAGTTACACATTGGGCTGCTAACTTCAAGGTCAGCAGTTAGCACCCACCAGCCACTGGGAACTGATTCAACAACACACATTAGCAACAACCAGAGCCAACTCACATGCCCTGTCTCTTTCTTTCTGCCTTTCTCTGTTACTCTGTTTCTCTCTCTCTCTCTCTCTCTCTCTCTCTCTCTCTCTCTCACACACACACACACCAACAACTTGACATGCTCTATATGGTTGACAGGTACAGACAGATTTTGGATTTATGGCAAATTTTCAAACTGGTTCATTCTACTTCAGCTCCCTGCTGAGAACTGGCATTTCTAACCTAGAGAGTGAATAAGAATCTACATTTTAACGAGAGACCCAAGTGATTCTAAAATACCTTCAGGTGATTCTTTGGTGGTCCTTTCATGCATGTATAATGTAGTCCTTATGAACACATAAGAATCACCTGGGGGCTCTTGTTAAAATGTAGATTCGGATACAGTCTATCTGGGGTGGAAATGGAAATTCTCAGCAGTGTGCCGAACAGGAATGACTTTTAGGGGTTCTCTGTGGTGCTATAGGATAGGCTCTTGACCTCAAGATTGGTTTGACAGCAAAATTGATGGTTCAAACTCACCAGCCACTCCTTGGAAACCCTATATAGGGTCACTATGAGTCAGAACTCACATGAAGGTCCTTAACAACAACAATGGCATATGCATTATACAGTGACTAAGAATGAAGCCGCCTTTGACCCTAAGAAAATTCAATCCCAACTTTTCAGAGTGTCATTGATTCCCTTATCCCAGCTAAAAAACAAAAACACAAAAGGAACCCACTGCATTATTAAAATTTCTTGACTGCACTGTGTTCAGAATTTTGTCCATCTCCAAACAACTTTTTTCCAATATTTATTTTCAGACCTCAAGAAATGAGGGAGCTATGCATTTTATTTATTTATTTATTTATTTTTTTTTCATTTTCAATTACTAGTCTAAGCTTGTAGGTGAACTCTTTACACCTTGATAAGGAAGAATGCACATGGACCACCCATGCCCCCCCCCCAGGTCAATAGGGTACCTGCTTGAAGCCTATAAATTACCTGCTTGAAGCCAAACGTGTGCCCTCACTTCACTGATAACAATGCCGACTCCTGCGCCCATTACACCAAGACAGCTGTTCTTATTAAGTAGTTAAAATCTCAAACACCCACAGGTCTGATCGAAAGAGTAACTTCATTATTTGATATTGAATCACAGAAGATACTAGGGACCCATGTTAAACACCCAGATCCCAAATCAAACACAAGATCATCAAACCCAAGCAAAGCCAACCCTCAAATAGTCAGTGGTAATAATCTAATAATGTAATGTAAAAAGAAAGCAATGCCATCACACCATCTGGTTATAACATCTCTTTAGACATTGTGGCAGAGTACAGGAAAAGGCTTTACCCACCTGGGGTCCTTCTGGATGCTATCAATGGACGGAGACCTGGCCAAGGTGCCTTCAGGTGGCAGGGCTGGGCCGGATTTGCTGTATGGAGACTCCACAGAAGGACAATAGGGCAGCTGTCGGTAGGGGTCTGAGTAATTGGAGGCTGGACCGGCGGCATAGCTGGCTCTCTGGAAGGTGGCTGCTGCGGGGTTCTGCTGACCATGCTGGCTGCCAGTCCGCTGCAAGGGGACGGAGTCGACACCAGGGGAAGATGGGGCTAGGACAACAAAGCAAGGACAAAGTCATCAACTGAGGATCTGCTCACAGAAATGGTTAACCAGGTCTGGCAGAGGGTAGAAATGACACACAAAAGAACAGGGTTTGGCAGAATGAACACACGATAATCAGTCATCCTGAAACTGACATCTTTAACGTTAGCTACTCAAGTAGAAATGTGCATGCTATCTCAGGACTCAAACTTTGAAGGGCTAGGGGAGAAACCGGCGTCTGCTATGACACTATTGCTTACAGTATTACGATGCAAACTGCATGCAAAACTCAAACCCAGGAAAACAATAGGGATTTTCTTTAAAAATAAGAAATCATGTCAAACAGTAAGCTCTTTAGGATTTGATTTGAGAAAATTCAGAAAGTATTCAGGTCATGTTACCTTAGCTTTAAAAAGAGGGTGTAAAGCAAAATTATTTTTCCTGACTAGAAGAATATAAGAAATGAGAAGGAATGTATGTGCAGGGTTGGGGGTGGGAGAAGTGGGCTCCTATTTCCATAATTAGTACAAAGGCATGGAACACAGGGCTGCTCCTGTCCCTATAAAATCACTTCCTAAAGATTTTTATATGTATCTTTTTCAACTCAAAAGAGTTCATAGTAACAAATAAATTTGATAAGAGGCAGGCATGTACAGGAATGAATTTCTGTATTCAAATTTTTATCTGGTTCTCAATATTATTTGACTTCTAAGGTTTTGTTGATACCACAATGAAAATAGCATCTTACAATCTCAGTAGAAAGTGACTAGTTATTAAACACACTGATGGTTATCATCTATTACCAATACTTGACAGTGGTCTTACTTTTTGAGCAGTTTGGATGAGAACATATCCCCAGAGGACAGCTCTGTGTTCACATACCACCATTTATACCATGAGAGCATTATGTGGAATTGAGCTTTGATTACAAGTAGCCCCTGACTTACAAACTATTTCATGTTACAAAGAACCACACCTGGCTATCTGTTTACTTGTTTTTTTTTCTGTACATCTTCTAGTCTGTAATGCAGTCCTGGTGTGGCGCTATGAGCTAATGCATCAGATTGCAAAGTCGTTTGAACTGCAAGGTCAGCAGTTCAAGATCACCAGCTACTCCTTGGAAACCCTACACAGGATTGCTAGGGGTTGGAATCGACTCAAGGGCACTTAACAACAACAAAGTAGTAATATGTACTATATACAATGTTGCAGCATGTAATTTGCTGCTGTTAACATTCTTAATGAAGGGCTTCAGAGAGTCCATGGAAAACTTTTAATTCCATTTTTCCAGAAACCTTTTGAAACCCCCTTGTATGTAATGTTTCCAACCCTAAGAAACCAGATTTATAAAGATACCGATAATAAGAGACATTCAAAAGGACAACTTGGAGAGAAAAAAAGAAAATGGTATTCGACTTACGTCAGAACCAACTAAGAATGGAGTTGTGGGAACAGAACCCTATGCTAAACTGGGGGATACCAGTATAGATCTCAGCCCACACATTTGACCTCTGGAGAATGTCTTTGTGGAAATGGCAGAAAAACAATTATTTTCTCTTCTCTCACATAAGGGACAAATGCCAAATTCAAGATCTTAAATAATACTGGAAAAATAACTGTTAAAAGAAGGAAACTGTAATGAAATGACAAGACGGTACAAAAAGGTGTAACGTGAAGTAATATAATCTGAGAACTGATTTTCTAACTAAGAGTTTGGCTTATTTCCTTTCCAATGTACTTTTAAAACTTCATTTTATACCAACAAACATTACAAAGGTAAGCACCATCATATAATCAAAACTACAAAGACAGTTGAGAAAGGTTTTCTAACTAGAGTTTGTATATAGTGTAGTGGTTATGAATCGGGCTGTGAGCCACAAGGTCATCAGTTCAAAACTACCAGCTGTTCCACAGGAGAAAGATGAGGTGTTCTGCTCCCATAAAGATTTACATCCTCGGAAACCCTGTACAGGGTCGCTGTGAGTCAGAACTGACTCCACTGCACATAACAACAACAACAACATACTGAATGAGAGTAATGTTTTTCCATGGTGGCAGCTATCTTATGTTTTACATTTCAAAACAATTGCTTGAGAGTAATACATACCAAATGCACATTCAGAGCATCTGTTTTTTGCATCTATGCCATTTCTTTCCCAAAACAAAACAAAATCCCAAAACTCAAGCCCTTTACCTTCAAGACAATTTTCATTCACAGGGACCCTATAAGACAGAAAAGAACTGCCCTATAAGGCTCCCAAGGGAGTCGTGGTGTGGCGTCCTAGGATAAGCACTCCACCTCAAAGTTGGCTTGAATTGCAAGGTCAGTGGTTCAAACTCACAGTCACTCCTTGGAAATCCTATATAGGGTCCCTATGAGTTTGAACGGACTTGATAGTACAACAACAACAACAACGACAACAGTCTTTACAAAAGCAGCCTGCCTCACCTTTCTCCCTTGTAGCTGCTGGTGGGCTCAAATTAACCATCTGTCACTTAGCAATTGAGCATATAACATTCTCCAAATCTTACTGTTAACTTGTCTTCGATTAAAATACACACTTAAAAATATAAAAACAATACACTGTGTTTTTTGATGAACCAGGTTGAATATTTAGGTTAAACACAATCCTGCTCTTAGAAAAACGATGCAGAGGGGTAAATCTAGTTTTATTTTCTAGAAGAGCTGTGATAGGCTAGTCAAAAAATCAAGGACAAAAAGGGAAAACGAATAAACCCAACATCTTCTATATAAACACTTTTTTTTTTTTTTTTTTAAATCAGTGCCCTAAGTCAACTCTGACTCATAGTGACTCTATGGGGCAGTCCAGTAGGACTGTTTCATAGGTTGTCTTAGGTTGTACTTTTATGGGGGACTCCTGGTGTGACACTGTAGGATCAGCACTGGCTTGCGAACCACAAGGTCAGCAGTTCAAACCCACCAGCTGCTCCTTGTACACAGGATCACTATGAGTCAGAACTGACTCTGTCTGTTCAACAACAATCTTGATGGGAGCAGACCACCTCACCTTCCTCCCACAGAGCAAATGGTGGGTTCCAACCAACAACGTTTTGGCTAGAAGCTGAAACCCTAAGCACTGTGACACGTGGCCCATTATATTTTTCCTTTATGAGGCTCTAACTGGTTGGTTGGTTGGTTATGTGCTGTAGAGTCGTTCCGACCCATAGCGACCCTGTACAGGGTTTCCGAGGCTGTAAATCTTTACGGGAACAGGAAGTCTCATCTTTCTCCCTCAGAACAGCTGGTAGTTTCCAACTGCTGACCTTAAGGTTCGCAGCCCGATTTGTAACCACTACACTATCAGAGCTAACTCACAACATTTAAACATGCTAAAAATGGTTACAAATATCAGAAAATAATTTATTTCTAGACAGGATTATCCATTATTAATATATGAAAACTACAATAATGTTACAAGGAGGACAAAAAGACAGGCAACAGGAAACTGATGGAATCTACACGGGAATTCTTGTTTAAAAGACACCACCAAACAAATAACATGACATACAAGCATGACTATTCACCGAGCTAACCACACTTGTTGTTGTTGTCAGGTGCCATCGAGTCGGAACCGACTCATAGCGACCCCATGCACAGCAGAACGAAACAATGCTCGATCCTGGGCCAACCTCACCACTGCTGCCACCCCCGAGTCCATCAATGATGCCACCTGGCCGATCCATCTCGTTGGAGGTCTTCCTCTTTTTCTCTGACCCTCAACCCTACCCAGCATGACATCCTTCTCCAACGATTGTTTCCTCCGGACTACATGTCCAAAGTAGGAGAGACGAAGCTTAGCCATCCTGGCCTCCAAGGAGCACTCTGGCTGCACTTCTTCCAAAACAGATCTATTGGTTCTTTTGGCAGTCCATGGCACCCTCAGTATTCTCCTCCAACACCACAACTCAAAGGCATCAACCACACTAAGACTTCTCAAAAGACCTCAAATTAAAAGGAAGAATATAACAAGAGAAGTTTAGGAGTAACTGCCAAGTATGAGGCAAAACAAAACTTGAAGAATTATAAGGGTGATTAGGTCAAAAAAGTGAAAATAGGATGTGAAATTCAATTAATTAAGCAGAAAAAGAAAGGCAACATAAAGAAAAACATAGACGAATCAGTGCATTTGAATTATGGTGTTGGAGAAGAAAACAAAGAAATCTGTATTGGGGGAAGTACAGTCAGAATGCTCCTTAGAAGCCAGGACGGTGAGACTTTGTGTCTTATACTTAGGACATGTTATCAGGAGGGACCAGTCTCTGGAGAAGACATGATGCTGAAGTGGAGGGTCGGTGAAAAAGAGGAAGACCCCCAAGGAGATGGTCTGAGCAGAACTGGGCTCAAACATAACAACTGGGAGGATGGTTCAGGATCAGGCAGCGTTTTCTTCGGTTGTGTAGAGGGTTGTTATGAGTTAGAATCAACTCGACGGCACCGATCAACAACAACATTAGCATCTTGGATATACACTATTGTATGTGGACATGTACTTTGGATGTGTTATTAGGAAGGACAAATCCCTGGAGAAGGACACCATGGTTGCTAAAGCAGAAGGTCAACAAAAAAGAAGCCCCTCAATGAGATGGACTGACACAGTGGCTTAGCAATGAGCTCAAACATGGCAACAAATTGTGAGCATGCCACCAGACCTAACAGCAATTCATTAGGTTGTACTAGGGTCTCAGAACTGACTCCACAGCACCTAACAACAATAGTTGTATTTTATTTTGGCATTTGGGGAGGACATATCATGGAACTTAGGTGTCCTGGTGAGGTGCTGCATGAGAAAGCACTTGGACCACAGATTGGCTCAAACTCACCAGCTACTCCTTGGAAACCCTATACAAGGTCACTATGAGTTGGAACCAACTTGATGTCACTTAATGATAACACCATGGAACTTATTCAGAGTATGGGTGTGTCTTCAGAAAAAATTAGGTTCCCATCCTAACCTTTGGGTGCATTGTTGTTGTTAAGTACCATGGA